GGTCCTGGAGTTCTCCTGTCTGATGCCTTTGCTCTTATCCCAGCTATCAGCTCCTTTCTCAGAAAAATGAAAGCGTATCCAGGCTGCTCCTGCACTGGCCCGCTGGAAGCTGGTATTTCCAAGTCTGGGATGGTCTTCAGGAGTCCTGAATCTCAGGTCTTCTTTACAAAACTCCTCTGTGCTTCCAGGTCAGAGGATATAACCCAGGAGATGTAGCTCTTTTCTCCTAACGCCTCATCCGTGTCTTGCAGATTGTCCATTTAAGAGACCAAGTATTGGAGCTTGAATGACAGGCTGGGGAAAGGCCCTCTCTTTTTGATTACGCCTGTGCAGTGCAGAGCAGAAGATCTTGTGTTGGATGGGGCCAAGCAAATGAGCTTCAGGAGCAGCATCCCTGAATCAGTTTAGTCTGCTTCCCAGGCTAAAACAGCCATGCTTTCATACTGCAGGCATAACAGGGTGCTAAATCTTTCTGGTGCTTTTGGACAGAGCACAAAGCTGTAAACTTATTCAGAGGGAGGTCAGAAATCTTCCTGCTGCTGCAAAGTGTAAGAACATACTTGGTATCTCCAGGCAGGACTCTGGAACACTGAGAAGCAGTCCAGGGTGTAGAGGAGGAGACCTAGGCAGGCACTGCAAGCTAAACTGAATTGATCATGTTTGTCGTGCAAAACTGAAGCTGAAATGCATTTTTTCACACCCAGTTGCTTACCTGGGGCACCCAACAGCCTCGGCAAGACTGGTCACATTCTCTGTGGAATAGGCACGTGCTCTGGAGTGGGCAGGGCTGTGTAACAGCCCTTCAGCAAAGGCCACTGGGGGCCCATGATGCAAACCCAGCTAATGGCAGCACATGGCCAGTTCAGAGCAGTGTAACCTGCTGCACTGACAGCAAATGCAAACTTACGAGGTCAAGAAAAATGTCATAAGGAACATTTTAAAGCACTTTCCTGTTTTGTTTTTTTTTTTCTTCCCCGCTCTCTGAAGATCAAATAAACAGGGAAATGGAGATACTAAAGCCATGTCAGAGGGCAGTCAACATACTGATAACCATTCCTCCCTGCTTCCTCCAAAAAATATCATTGGGCACTGACTGCCTCACATCATCTGGGTATCACTCCTTGAAACTGGAAATCAGAGGTGACAGTGGCCAAATGTTCTCCCCTTTCTTACGGGGAGGTTTATTGCATTCTCTGTAGAGATCCTTGCAGCTGTACATAATAATTAAGGAAACACTAATCATTTGGTAACATTTCTGTGGCAAACTACAAAAGGATGTCCCACAGTCCACTCCTTGTGCCCTCTCATTTCCCTGTCTGCCTTTCAGGATTCACCAGGACCTTGTGGCATTGCTGGTGTGAGCTCCCCTTCCAGAAGAACTGCTCTTGCCCATCTCCCTCTCCCTGGGAACAGCTGAAGCAGGGCGTGGAGTGATAAAAATTTATGTTTTCATCAAACCGGGCCAAGGAGAATGGGGGTCCCACACCCAAAAGAATGAAGACACGACAGAACAAGGACTCGGTATGTGAGGTGGGAGAGAGTGAGGAGGACACCAGAGCCAAACTGGAGCTATGGTTTGGGACTGTGGCTCCCAGCAGTGCTGCTGGACATGGGTTTGGTCTAGTGGAGTGCCAGGGGTTTAGGGGCTTTGGGAGGTTGGGGATAGGGCAGGAGTGGAGAGATGCAAAGCAGGGACTGATCCAGTGATCCCTCTCTTAGATGTCAATGCGGAGTGGACGGAAGAAAGAGACTCCAGGGCCCCGAGAGGAGCTCAGGTCACGGGGTCGAGCTTCTCCCGGTGGCGTCAGCACCTCCAGCAGTGATGGCAAGGCTGAGAAATCCCGACAAGCCACAAAGGTAGTACCAGCTAGTGCACGAGTGGGGGGTGCCTGAGAGCTGCCCAAACTGGATAGAACCCACTTGGGGATCCAGATTTTGCAGACCAGAAGGAATCTACTGAGGAACCCGTGTTGGGTTAGCTCTCTGGAATGGGTGGGATCCCTCTTTTGTCTTGCCCTCAGCATCTTGCCCTTAACATCCTCTCTCAAGAACCAGTCTCATGTTTCACCAGCCCTTTTTAGTACTAATTGTTGCCACATTCTGGCTCAGTCTGGCCCCACCATCCCCTGCCCACTGTCTGTCAAGCTCTTCAACACGCCCTGCGATGGCTGCATCTCACTTGCTGCAGTTTGTGAAGGCCTGGAAGGGTTTCCTTGTGACCTCCCCACCTCCCTGCTCTCTCCCTTGCAGAAAGGCCGGGTGGAGGAATCGTGCACCCCCAAAGGCAGCAAGCAGGGCCGAACAGAAGAGATCTCGGAGAGTGAAGGGGAGGACACCAACGCCCCTAAAAAACCCAAAACAGAGGTGAGTTCTCCCTGCTGTGATGGCTGGTGTGTCCCAGTTCAGGGCAAAGGAATCTCCCCTACTCGCCCTCATCCAGCTTGAGGTTTCTGCTGTCTGGGGTTCCTGGCGTCTCAGGTTTCACACTGCAGCTCTTCCAACCTAAGTGGCATCTGCCTGGCTACAAAAAGTGCCACCAGCAGTGACAATGACCAGATGGAGGTGCTCCACCTCTTTTGTCTTGTCTGCAGGGAACTGCCATGCTTTTGGAGCTGGGCATGTGCCCTGCCTTTCCTGACTCAGTGGCAAGAGCAAGCTTGGGCTGCTCCACGTGCAGCGACTGGTTGGGTTAGACTTGGCCTCTTTTGCTCCCCCAGAGCAGTGTGAAATGGAGGTGCTTCAGCTGTGGCAGATTCTGGGTGGTGGTCTTACCAAACCTGCTCACACACACGCTCTGCATAGTTGTGGTAGGGCTTTAACAAAAGGCCAGCATTGGTGGTTGGATGGTTGGAGAAAGATTGAGCTCTTGTGCTTCTCAGTTCCCCACTGGCCTCTTCATTTAACTGGCCTTAAGGGCCTGCAAACAAGAGGATATTTCCTTGTGTTATGAGGTAATTGTAATTAAACCACAATGGTTACACCTATGTAATTTCTCCACATGGACACTGTTGAGCTCATCAGTGATCTTTTTTCAGTTGAGTCTCTCTTGTAAGCCCCGAGGCTCAAAAATGGCCCTTGTTAATTGTTCATGCAAACTGCTTAATCACCAGTGCTGCATTGCATGAGTCTAGAGGTGGGAGGAAGGAGTAGAGATTGGGAAGCGCAGGGGAGGGAGACTCTGGGAGTGGGGCAGTGAGAGGGGCTCGGAGGGGTGCTGGATCTCCTCACCCAGGGAAGAAATCCGTGGGGTGAAGAAGAGCGATTCTGGGTCTAGGGGGCCGAGCTGAGCACACTGTGATGTGTGCTGCTCTCTGCCACCTGGTGGCATCATACCCTGGCCAGCAGCCCATCACAGGTGGTGGTGGTCGTGCTAGAACCTTTGGTATCTATTCACTCTTCACCACATCTGTAACAGTTCCCTGTCCTCCCTTGCTGCCTCTGTACACAAGGACCCAAGAGCACTGGACGGGAGGCAGGAGGACTGGTGTTATTTATACCTTGCCAGATTATGTCTCCTTCCGTCTGTGGGGTTTTCTAGTGCTGGGGCTGGCAGCAAAAGGCCAGGAAACAGGTTCTCTGGGAACTTGAAATGTGCCATGCATGTTCTGGGAGGTTGTATAATGTCTCCTCCTTCTCTGTGCTTCAGGAGTTGCCCTGTCCTCCATCCCCATCTGATGTTGACAGCCTAGATGGCCACAGCTTCAATGATGAGATGGGCAGTGACCCACGGGACATTGACCAGGATAACAGGAGCACTTCTCCCAGCGTCTACAGCCCTGGCAGTGTGGAGAATGACTCCGACTCCTCCTCCGTGCTGTCCCAGGGGCCGTCCCACTCCTACCACCACCCGCCACTCTTCCCGCAGAGCCCACCGGTAGGTGCCCCTCCCGACAGCCCGGCCCG